GGCTATTTAACGGCAGCAGTCCAATTACACTTGCATGAAAAAGGGGAGGACCCCATAACAATATATATATATATATATATATATATATATATATATATATATATATATATATGAGTTAGGTTTAAACTAATATCCCATGGTCTTAATCTAATACATTGGAATCGTAAAAAAGGCCTTTTTTTGAATTTGTAGGCACGATGAATTTGATCGTGATTACAATTCCAATGTAATAAATTATAACCATGGACTATTAGTGTTTGAGTCTTTATATCATATTCTTCCTTTATCCTGGACATTGAGCTCTACCTGGAAATATATATATATATATATATATATATATATATATATATATATATATATATATATATATATATATGAAGAGAGAGAGAGAGAGAGCACTAATATTATCAATATATATATATATATATATATATATATATATATATATATGAGTAGATATTTGATAAATTCATACATAACAAAATCTGATGCAAAATGTATATAGTGTTATTGCATTATATATATATATATATATATATATATATATATATATATATATATATATAGATATATATATATATATTTATACATAATGCTTATATATATATATATATATATATGTGTGTGTGTGTGTCTGGTAAAAAGAATCGAAACTGGTCCTATAATAAGATGTGCCATACTTGATATTGTCTATTTCTATCCTTTACTAACTCCGCAGATATTTTGCAGCAGTACGTTTCCGTTTCTTCCTGCCGTAGATTGGTTGCCAACCAAGGTTGAAACGCAGTCTTCCCTGCTATTCAACCAATAGCTTAGTGCAAAAGCGATTGATTCATACCTTTCCCAAAGTGAATGTAACAAACCCGACTAGAATTCAAACTGGGCTTTCCGAGTTATTCCAGGCCGATATTAACAACGCACAGTTCATGAAAAATCTGCAGACAAATATTTACCTGAAGAGCAAAAATATATTGAAAATACATTTGGCATCCTACAATATCACTACTTATTTTATCTATAATACTAAAGGATAAGGCTAAAAAGAATTAAAAATATTAATAATAATTGTACCGTATTGCATGTAACAATTTTGGCTGTCATGGTTACTGGCGGCTCTGCGTTAATGCATTATATAAGATCAAAATAAAAATCAAATAACACACATGCGCGAAATTAAAAATATAAAATGGCGACAGTTTCGACATCACACACAGTATTAAAGTTACCTCCCTTGATATCTCTAATTTTTAAATCAGCAGACCGCGTTTCATGCGCATTTAAAAAATAATCACAACTGTCAATTACATTAATTATTCCTTTTAGCAATTCACCTTTATAGGTAAGATCTTTTCTTTTTTATCTTACACTCTGCTTTGCTGTGTAGATATATATGATATATTGTTCTCTATGTGGAACACATGTACATATGTATATATCATTTTGTGTATGTCTTAGTGATATAAAAATCTCTTTGAGAACAAAGCATGTTTTTTATTGCTTTTCCTTTAAGCCATTCTGTTCTGTCCGTGAAGTACGCTGTTATTATAACAGATTTTATATAAAGATTTATTCTCCCATTTGTATTTCCCCAATTATGGACATTATTATATCCGTGATAGAATAACACCATCGTTCACGGACGGAATGGAATGGCTGAAAGGCAAAATAATGACAAATATACTTGTTTTTTCTCTGCGTGGGCACACGTGTATGTGTACATATATAGTCATGTGTATATCTTAGTAGCATGAAAATCTCTTTGAGAAGAAAGCATGTTTCTCATCCTTTTTCTTCTCACCCATTTTGTTCTGTCTGTGAAGTACGGTATTATATTACGGATATAATAATACCCATAATGGGGGAAATACAATACAAATGGTAGAATAAATCTTTCTTCCATATTTCTCATATAGTAAAATGTTTACCCTTTAAATTCTCTTTTAATTACGTATCATACTCCTTATCGATATATACACAAAGGAAAGCAGTATATTTTTTGATAGAAAGCTTTATGTAATATATACCATTAAAAAGTTGGGGACTTGGATAAAATTTATGCATATACAGAAGTTATTTTCTCAGATTATATAGACAGTTGTTAGTTTTTAAATTTGTGTTAGCTACTGTTCACCCTTGTAGCCAGACAGAGAAGTGAAATTGCCAATGTTCACTGAATTATTATAAAATCAGCTAAAAATTGATTTGAATAAAACTTTTGATATTTATTCATTGACTATATAATTTTTTGAAAAAAAGATTTTAAAAGAATCTATTTTTTTCTTGAAACATTTTTGTATAATAACGCCAACTTTTTCTTTGTAATTTATTACGCTTTTTTTTTCTTTTTTCTTCATTTCCAAATGTGAAATTCATTAAATTCAGCTACAGAAATTAACGTTTTAAATCTAGATTGAGTAGAATGGTTCTAAAATGGCGGTTCAGTGTGTATGATATTTGTAATGCCTAATTGAACACTGATTTTATTTCAGGGTTTATTGCAGTCGATGTTCAATTTAACGAATGGGAAAATATAGAATTGAACCTAGATTATGCTAATTTATGCAAATATGAAAAAGAAATTCAATGTATTTGATCACCGACCGAAATGGAAATATGGATTCACTAGCTCCGGCCCTGATATGGTAACGTGACTCTATTTTCCAGGACTAATTAATCTCTTTCAGTGACAGTTGTCCTTCTGTTCCTGTCATCAACACAGTGACATTTGTGTGTATTGGTTTCTTAATTAACTGATTGAATTTAATATATCTGCCAATAACAGTTGATCTCTAGCACTAACTTTTCAGTAGGGAGAAAAAGGCCTTGAAAACTGAAGTAGATGCATTTCATCACCGATCGAACTCCGAACTACAGTCATTCACGATAAATGGAACAACCCTTCATCGCGATCCGTGAATGTTATGTGTCCGCTCGGTGATGATGTAACATCACTATTTTAGTTTACGAAGCATTATTTTGAATTGACGGTGTTAACACATGACACATCCCTAGATATGCAACCCCTGACGATAGTCTCAGATGATACTGAAAGTACTTGGCAAAATAAAAATTAATTTAATTGAAAGAAAAGTTTAGGCATTTTCTTAGTCAATTTTCTACAGCCACCAAGAAATGAATTCTTCGAGTTGAAAAGATTAAAACTAAAATAGACAACATACGTCTACATTATTTAACCCAACATGGTTGAATGAGAATATACTGCCTATATATATATATATATATATATATATATATATATATATATTGTCATCCACAGATAGACTGTTTCGCTGTATCACAGCTCATCAGTGTGGCTAGACGTCAGGTTACCACTAGGTAGGAGCGAAACCCGTCTAAATTGGCGTCAGTCGTAGATTCTTTCCCTAAGCTGTTGGCGCACGGCAGGGATGAAGGTGAATTTAACCGTATTTATTTTTAGATAAATACACAGTGACTGAGAGAAGTCGATTCGATTTACCGAAGAGTCTTGTATTATTAGTCGTAATATTCACTGTTTACAAACTCACACTTCCTCACAGAGAGCTCAACCGAAAGAAATTTTTCATGAGTATATATATATATATATATATATATATATATATATATATGTGTGTGTGTGGTTAAGCAAAAAGTAAATAAGTTATGAATGCACTACGATTCCTAATAAAAGTTTATGCTATTATTTTCTAAAAGTAAGGTATTTTGGCAGAAGACATTTGCATATTCAGTAGGCTAAGCACAAGATCGCAACGATAAATGAAATATTTCATGCACAAGTTCATTTAATGAAGAAAAAGACATAAGGATAAATAGCCGAACAAGAAGAGAACAAAGGAAAAATAAGAGAAAATAATAAAAGCAAGAATTACAATTGAAAAGAAAGTTTAAAAAAAGAAGATATCGGTGTGGCTGGTGAGAAAAGAGACAATAAGAAGACAATAAGATAGAATAGAAGCCAAAATATTAAATGGAAAAGGAAAAGGGAAAAATATAAGAAGAAGAAGACGAAGAAAAAGACAAAGAAAAAAACGAAGAAGAAAAAGGGGCAGAAGAAGAAGAAAAAGACGAAAAGAAAATAGGCAGAAGAAAAAGACGAAGAGGAAAATAGACAGAAGAAGAAATAAACGAAGAAAATAGGCAGAAGAAGAAGAAAAAAGTCGAAGAAAAATACAGAAGAAGAAGAGGAAAAAGAAGATGCAGAAGAAAAATAGGAAGAAGAAGAAGGAAAAGACGAAAAAGAAAAATATGCTGAAGAAGAAGAAGAAGAAAAAGAAGAAGAAAAAGACGAATAAGAAAATAGACAGAAGAAGAAATAAACGAAGAAAAATAGGCAGAAGAAGAAGAAAAAGACGAAGAAGAAAGATAGGCAGAAGAAGAAGAAAAAAGTCGAAGAATAAATTACAGAAGAAGAAGAGGAAAAAGAAGATGCAGAAGAAAAATAGGAAGAAAAAGAAGAAGAAGAAAAATAGGCAGAAGAAGAAGAAGGAAAAGACGAAAAAGAAAAATATGCTGAAGAAGAAGAAGAAGAAGAAGAAGAAATGTTACTGTTATTGTTATGATTTCTACAAATACAGTCATTATTTCGTGCCTGAAGCCAAAATAAAGCCATTGTTAAATTTAGTTCATTGATTGTGACCAATGATCTTCGATGATAGACATTAATGAGATTTTTTTTCCGACTAAACTCAATCCTTCCCTACGGCCCCAAAAGCAAAAATACATCCACTTGCAGAAGTCGCAGTATTCAAAAGGCACACAGTGTTCTGTCTAAAATCACTCCATTCAGATCTGAATGAAATAGAATCGTCGGAAAGTTCTCAGCACGCCTCTGAACAAACGTCGAAACGGGATTCTTATGTTATTTCTATTTATATTCTATCTTATTTATCTATTTTCTTAAAATGCTTTTTGGTATGGCCGAGGACTTTTCTGTATACGATCGGACATCAGAATTACAATGAAAGTTTAAGTGAGGGAAAGAGAGATGGTTGAATGTGAGAATGTCCATTATATTTCTTATTTATTTTGAACATAGATGTCTGTCTTTCTTCGACTGTTTCCTTTCATTTTCGTTCGTTCACTTACAGTTCTTTTATTTTGAAGACAATCCTTTGTACAGTTTTAGTAAATAGTAACCTGTTACTTTTTCTCCAACCTTTCTTCTTTCTTTCCTTGCTAAAATATTTTCATCCTGCTTTCTTTTCTCTTCTAGTTATCTTCCACCGTTTCCACATTTCTTCTTTATTTCTTAAATTCTTACTTGGTTGTTTAATTGCTTTTATCCATACAGCTTTCTTTTATCACTTAAAAACATTCGTATTGATTTCTTTTCCCTTGCTGCCATTTTTCTTTCGTTATTTTCTCTTGCTATCAGCTTTATATCTTCCCGTATTATCGTCTTTCTTTCTTTCTTTCTTTTTATCTTTCTTTCTTTCTTTCTTTCTACCTTTGGTATCATCGTCCTTTCTTTTTTTCATTGTATATTTTTTCTTTCTTGCTTCCCTAATTGTTTATTCTATATGCCTTTCTTTTCTCTAGCTATCAATTTTCTTTTTTCTCTTATTATGGGTCATTCTTTCTTCTCTAATTATCGTCTAGCTTTCTTCTTTCCTTCATTCGTTCGTTCCTTTCTTTCTTTCTTTCTTTCTTATAGTCTTTTTTTTCTTTCTTTTCTGTCTTTTCTCTTTGTTGCTTTCTTCTCCCTTGCTATCATTTTCCTGGAGTTTCTTTTTAATTGCTATCATCTTCCTCCCTTCGTTTATTTTTCTTCTTTTCTTTTTCCTTGTTATCATCTTTCTATGTTCCATTATTATCGTCTTTCTTTCTTTTTTCTTTCTTTCTTTGTATCTTTCTTTCTTTATTTCTTTCTTTCTACCTTTTATCTTTCTATATTTTTTCTTTCTTGCTTCCCTAATTGATTTTTCTATATGCCTTTCTTTTCTCTAGCTATCAATTTTCTTTTTTCTCTTATTACGATCATTCTTTCTTCTCTAATTATCGTCTAGCTTTCTTTCTTTCTTTCTTTCTTTCTTTCCTTTCTTTCTTTCTTTCTTTCTTTCTTTCTTTATTATAGTCTTTCTTTCTTTTCTGTCTTTTCTCTTTGTTGCTTTCTTCTCCCTTGCTATCATTTTCCTTGAGTTTCTTTTTAATTGCTATCATCTTCCTCCCTTCGTTTTTTTTCTTCTTTTCTTTTTCTTTGTTATCATCTTTCTATGTTCCATTATTATCGTCTTGCTTTCTTCCGCTGATAACATCTTTCTTTCTGTTTTTCTCCCTGTCTTTTTTTTCTTTCTTGCTTGATATTTCTATATGGCTTTCTTTAACCCTTGCTATCAATTTCTTCCCTTATTGTTGTCTTTCTTTCTTTATTTATTTACTTCTTTCTTTCTTTCTTTTTCTTTACTTCTTTATTTATTTATTTACTTCTTTCTTTCTTTTTTCTTTACTTCTTTATTTACTTCTTTCTTTCTTTCTTTTTTCTTTACTTCTTTATTTATTTATTTACTTCTTTCTTTCTTTCTTTTTTCTTTACTTCTTTATTTATTTATTTACTTCTTTCTTTCTTTCTTTTTCTTTACTTCTTTCTTTATTTACTTCTTTCTTTCTTTTTCTTTACTTCTTTATTTATTTCTTTACTTCTTTCTTTCTTTCTTTCTTTTTACTTTACTTCTTTATTTATTTATTTACTTCTTTCTTTCTTTTTTCTTGACTTCTTTATTTATCTATTTCTTCCATCTATCTTTTTTTTTTTTCTCCATCATTTTTTTCTTTTTCGCTTACCAACATCATTTTTCTATACTGCTTTCTTTTCTCTTACTATCCTTTATTCCCTTATTATCGCCTTTCTTCCTTTCTTTTTTTTCTTTCTTTGTTCCGTTGCTATCATTTTTCCTTTTTCCTATCTGTTTTTCTTTCTTGTTTGCCTACTTTACTTTTCTATACGACGTTCTTTTCAAGTGCTATCATCTTTCTTTATTCCCTTATTATCGTCTTTCATTTTTTTCTTTCTTCCGATGCTATCATATTTCTTTCGTTTCTTTCCCCTCTATATCCGTTTCTTTTTCCTTTTCTGCTTGCCTAATTGATTTTTTGTCTATACGGCTTTCTTTACTCCTGCTATCATTTCCATTCCATCTTTCTGTCTTCCTTGTTGGGTCGGTTGCTTCATCACTTCGCCATACAGCTTTCGTTTTCTTTTTATCAACTTTCTTTCTTTCCTTCTTTTTTTTTTTTTGTATGCTTGCTTGCTTGATTGGTTCCATACAGGTTTCTTTGCCCGGCTAATATATTTCTTTTTAGAGTACTTCTTTTTTTTTCCCTTTCTTTCTTTGTTTGCGTGCTTGACTTAATTTGTTTTACTATTTATTGTTCTTTCTTTCTTTTTTTCTTTCTTTCTTTCTTCCTTTCTTTCTTTCTTTCTGGACAGATCGTTAAAAAAAAAAGAAATATTACTGTCCTTTCAACCCATTTCTAAAATAGAATTCAGAGTGACAAACAGTCTTGATTCGTTCGGAAAGAATCCGACAGTTTGTATTATGATTGACTGACTTTCCATTTGCCTTCTCAGTGAGTGGCCCAAACAATATTTGGCGTCTTAATTTGGGCCTTCCTTTGGCTTCAACCTTTCAAAAACAGGAAAAAAAAAACGAAACATTTTTTACGCTGGTTTCTCAGGTGTTTCACAAACACACTGACCGAATAGGTGATTAAGAGTAAGCAGTGTCTTCAGCACGACTTAATCTCAATCGCCTATTCGGTCACTGTGTTTGTAAAATACTTAAGAAACCACCGTAAAAAATATGTTTCGTTTTCGAAATTTGAAACTTTCGTATTAAGAGCTTCCGGCGCGAATGCCAAGGTGTACAGCATGCCGTTATCAAATTTAATGGCGGAGTGAAATGCGCCATGGTGCTCTTTTTTTTCACAACTGAAACTACAAGACTGTGCAGTAAACAAAATCAAAAACAAACAACGTGCATGCACGAAATTGAAACACATATGTGTTATGGGATCTTACCCATAATAATAATAATGGACTATTCCATACTTAATAAATACTGCGCCTTAGTCAGTAGGCGAGAGTCGGTCGCTCACTTTCTGAGCGACTGTTCGGTTCAACTCTCTTCCTACGGGCGAGAGGAACCCGAAGGAGGCTACGCCGAAGGGCGGAGTCTCCTTCGGGGAGGTAAAACCGGCCCTGAACCCGTTTATACGGGTTCAAATGGGCTATTTTTTTTGCCGACCTAATGGCTCGGGAATGCCCACGTTAAAAAGGCCTTGTGCCATGACACCCTCGTGGGGGTGACTGAATATTGTCGGTCGCTCACTTTCTGAGCGACTGTTCGGTTCAACTCTCTTCCTACGGGCGAGGGAACCCGAAGGAGGCTACGCCGAAGGGCGGAGTCTCCTTCGGGAGGTAAACCGGCCCTGAACCGTTTATACGGGTTCAAATGGGCTATTTTTGGCTGAGCCTAATGGCTCGGGAATGCCCACGTTAAAAAGGCCTTGTGCCACATGACACCCTCGTGGGGGTGACTGAATATTGTCGGTCGCTCACTTTCTGAGCGACTGTTCGGTTCAACTCTTCCTCCTACGGGCGAGAGGAACCCGAAGGAGGCTACGCCGAAGGGCGGAGTCTCCTTCGGGAGGTCCGGCCCTGAACCGTTTATATACGGGTTCAAATGGGCTATTTTTTTGCCGAGCCCTAATGGCTCGGGAATGCCCACGTTAAAAAGGCCTTTGTGCCACATGACACCCTCGTGGGGGGGTGACTGAATATTGTCGGTCGTTCACTTTCTGAGCGACTGTTCGGTTCAACTCTCTTCCTACGGGCGAGAGGAACCCGAAGGAGGCTACGCCGAAGGGCGGAGTCTCCTTCGGGGAGGTAAAACCGGCCCTGAACCGTTTATACGGGTTCAAATGGGCTATTTTTTGGCTGAGCCTAATGGCTCGGGAATGCCCACGTTAAAAAGGCCTTGTGCCACATGACACCCTCGTGGGGGGGTGACTGATATTGTCGGTCGCTCACTTTCTGAGCGACTGTTCGGTTCAACTCTCTTCCTACGGGGCGAGAGGAACCCGAAGGAGGCTACGCCGAAGGGCGGAGTCTCCTTCGGGAGGTAAAATCGGCCCTGAACCCGTTTATACGGGTTCAAATGGGCTTTTTTTGCCGAGCCTAATGGCTCGGGAATGCCCACGTTAAAAAGGCCTTGTGCCACATGACGCCCTCGTGGGGGACGACTAAATATAGTCCGCCGCTCACTTTCTGAGCGAACGGTTCGGTTTAACTCTCTGCTTTCGGGCGGGAGGAACCCGAAGGAGGCTACGCCGAAGGGTGAAGTCTCCTTCGGGGAGGTAAACCGGCCCTGAACCCGTTTATACGGTTTCAAATGGGCTATTTTTGGCCGAGCCTAATGGCTCGGAAATTCCCACGTTAAAAGGCCTTGTGCCACATGACGCCCTCGTGGGGGGACGACTAAATATAGTCCGTCGCTCACTTTCTGAGCGACGGTTCGGTTCAACTCTCTGTCTACGGACGGAGAGGAACCCGAACGAGGCTACGCCGAAGGGCGGAGTCTCCTTCGGGGAGGTAAAACCGGCCCTGAACCCGTTTATACGGGTTCAAATGGGCTATTTTTTGGCCGAGCCTAATGGCTCGGAAATGCCCACGTTAAAAAGGCCTTGTGCCACATGACGCTCTCGTGGGGGGGGACGACTAAATATAGTCCGTCGCTCACTTTCTGAGCGAACGGTTCGGTTTAACTCTCTGCTTTCGGGCGGGAGGAACCCGAAGGAGGCTACGCCGAAGGGCGGAGTCTCCCTTGCGGAGGTAAAACCGGCCCTGAACCCGTTTATACGGGTTCAAATGGGCTATTTTTTGGCCGAGCCTAATGGCTCCGAAATACCCACGTTAAAAAGGCCTTGTGCCACATGACGCCCTCGTGGGGGACGACTAAATATAGTCCGTCGCTCACTTTCTGAGCGAACGGTTCGGTTTAACTCTCTGCTTTCGGGCGAGGGAACCCGAAGGAGGCTACGCCGAAGGGCGGAGTCTCCTTCGGGAGGTAAAACCGCCCTGAACCCGTTTATACGGGTTCAAATAGGGTTATTTTTTTGGCCGAGCCTAATGGCTCGGAAACGCCCACCTTAAAAAGGCCTTGTGCCACATGACGCCCTCGTGGGGGGACGACTAAATATAGTCCGTAGCTCACTGTTTGAGCGACGGTTCGGTTCAACTCTCTGTCTACGGACGGAGAGGAATCCGAACGAGGCTACGCCGAGAGGCGGAGTCTCGTTCGGGGAGATAAACCGGCCATGAGCCCGTTTATAAGGGTTCAATGGCCATATTTTGGGGCCGAGCCCACGGGCTCAGAGAACCCACAATAAATAACCGACCTTGTGTCACATGCTGCCGCAGAGGTGGGGGACTGAATATCGTCACTCGTTCAAGTCTTGACCGGCTGATCGGTTGAACTCTCTGCCTTCGGGCGGGGAGGAACCCAAAGGAGGCTACGCCGAAGGGCGGATTCTCTTTCGGGGAGGTAAACCGACCCTGAACCCGTTTATACGGGTTCAATGGGTATATTTTTCGACGATCCCACGGAATCGGAAATCCCACATTAAATAACCGGCCTTGTGCCACATACTGCCTCAGTGGGTGGGGGTGACTGAATATCGTCAGTCGTTCACCTCCTGACCGACTGTTCGGTTGGACTCTCTGCCTTCGGGCGGGGAGGAACCCGAACGAGCCTACGCCGTGGTGCGGAGTCCCTTTTCGGGGGGGGGGAAACTGGCCCAGAACCCGTTTATACGGGTTCAATGGGCATATTTTTGGGCCGAGCCCACGGGCTCGGAGAACCCACAATAAATAACCGACCTACTGTCACATGCTACTCCAGTTGGTGGGGGGAGGTGTGAATATCGTCAGTAGTTCAAATCGAGTCAAGTGTCGAATCAGAGGCAGTCCGAAACAGTCGCGTTCAGACAATTACTGCAAGACATTGGAATAGTGATACTGGTCGAGACTACAAAGAGGAGGCACGTTGGAGTAATGGATAACGGCTTGGATTGAGGAGCCGAGTTCGAATTCCAGTCGAATCCATTACATTCACTTACGTTCACCTTGGGAAAGGTGTGAATCCTCTTTCTTCTCCCTCCAGCTATGGGTAAATAGCAGGACAGACTGGGTTCTATAGCCTTGAATGGCAACTGGTCTAGGAGAAGGAAAACTCTGAATTCAAACCTGCTCTTAGATGAGGGTGAATGGAGTCTCTGTGAGCCTTGGTTGGCAATCCATTTACTGTTGGTGTCACGATAAAAACACCCTTGATAGCCCTAGCGAAGCATCAAGAATTCAGCTATTTGACAAGATTATGAACTACACCAATCAAAGTATTGGTGAGTTCAATCTCGGCTGAGGCCGCAAGATGAAGATGATTACCAATCACTTCATCAAGAGAGTTAGGTACGCCATTCGAAGTTCTCCCCTGTCCTTTGGCTCTTCAGTATATCCTGTGAGCTTCAGGTTCTCCAGCTTTCCAGCGAGACTACATTGTTCCCCCTACTAAACCTGATTGTTCATACTAACACTTTCTACTTCGCTGTATATATTCCTGTTTGTAATATGTCTGTGTTATTCCATACCTATGTACGCGTTATTCTTTATTGGTTCTATCTTGGACTATCACCGTGGTACTAGGAACCGGACCATAAAAATATGATATGGCGACAATTTACCCAGCGTATCTTATTTATATATAACAGTTTGTGACCCTGGTTTTTACGCTTAGCTCTATCACTGATATTGAGCGCTTTCTCCTGTGTAACTCGCATATATATATATATATAACAATCAGAGTAATAATAAACAGTCCTTTAGCATTTATATATTTTTTAAAAGTGTTCGATACAAAGTAGAGCATAATGCTATAATATTATTATTGTTGTGGATTATGAAATCCGGTCTCAAATGAATGACAAACGCAGGAATGAAATATAGCAAATAAATGTATTGACGTCATAATACAATTGGTAATACGGTTAGTAGATCCAGAAATGCGGTTAGTAGCAATAATAATATATATATATACAGTCTGTGAAATTCAGTATCGAAGTATGACTTCATTCTGAGTCTACGTGCTCGCAACTGTGACTCCTACAAAGCGGTTACCTCACATTCTCACTCTCTCTATCACACTGTCGGGTATTCACTGGCAGCAGTACAAGTACACACTGGGCGAGTCCACTTGTATAAAAAGGGGTGGACCCCTTTAACAATTATTATAAATATTTTTCATCGTGACACGAAAATTTCTATATTTCGGAACTTAAAATTTGTTCAGTATTTACATTAGTCGGACTATTGTCCTCATCTTTGTCGCCATATTTGTCACAACGTTTCGGCCATTGTACGCTCTGGCCTTCTTCAGTTGGTTGGAATTTCGAACTGAACCCTTTATTTCGATCACTGGGGTA